GGACTGCAAACTTCCTCTTTTCTGCCAGAAGAGAGAAGGCAACTGCTTTGACTATATAGCACACTGAGCTTCAAATCGGTTTGTTTTATACAAGCATCTGGGTAAGACATAAGCCAAGAATTTCAGCAGGTGGAACAGAGTAATTGTAGATGTCATAAACCATTCAGGGCCCACCTCCAGAAGGATGGGGTTATGTCTCATTCAAATCCTGGAGCTGCTACAGGACAGGAATTGAGATCTGTGAAACAGCCACGAGATAAGCCAGAGTAGATTCTGGCTTCATGGGCTAACTATACTGAATTTTTCAAGATACTCATTGGATTTATATTTTGCCTTCCATTTTTACTTTTTTCTGCTGGGAGGCTGAAGCCTCCAAAGGACAATGCTCATTTATTCACTCTTTTCCTAGCACAAATGTTAAGTACTCAGACTTTCGGAGAGAATAAATTTATTACATACACTAGAAACAATTTGTTGAAGCATTAAATAGCTGATTACAATCATTTATGTAATGTAGGTGATATATAAAGTTAGAACAATTTAGCTACTGTAGGATATAAGTTGAAAGGAACTTTCAGGGACAGGACTGTTGCTCAATTATAGGTGAAATTCATGTTTAGAATGTACAAGACTCTGCAACATAAGAAAAAATAAATAGCATAAAAATATCCTGGTCAGAAATATATCTCATTAAGGAAAAAAAAGTAAAACAGGACAAGGATTTTTTTTTAGTGGCTCTTCAAAATGTAACATTTGGATTATCATTGATTCAATAATACCACAATGTTTCACAAAGAAATAGGACTTAGTACAAATGGAAAGATAATTATTGTAACCATTATTTTGACATTTATAGAGGGACAATTAGATTAATCATGAGATCTAAATTTTTAGTTTTGTAACAGAAAAAGTATCACTTTGTCTCAGGCTGAAGTAATATTTCACAGTTTTTAACTCTAAAAGCTAAGAGAAAAAAACAAGTAACAGCATGGCATGGTAAAGCAACAAGAAGAAAGAAAATGTGATATGACCTTTGGGTTTCTATTTTTCCCCTCTTACCACCTGTATTCATTCCTGAAAGATAGACAGAAACTTCTCTTAAAACACATATAACATTTTAATTGTACCAGGACTTTTAAAAATAAATGTAATTGCTGGGCAGTGGTGGCACATACCTTTAATCCCAGCATTTGGGAAGCAGAAGCAGGTGGATCTCTGTGAGTTTGAGGCCAGCCTGGTCTATAATGTTCCAGGACAGCCAGTGATACGCAGAGAAAAACTGTCTTGAAAAACTAAAAATATATACATATATAATTAATTTATTTGAGGTTGTGGCAGGGTTCTCACAGGCTTACTATAAAGCTACAATCCTGAAGTTCTAGGATTTCAGGTATCTAAAAACATACCCAGCCCCTCAAAGCTTTTTTTTCTTGTAAGAATATAGATTTTTAAATTTGGTAAATTATTCTGTTAAAACACTTATTTTCAAACTGTAGTATTACCTCCATATTTCTTACCTTCTAGTGAAAACTGTTATATACTCGGTATTTATTAAATCAAGAGTAAGTGCTACATTTCATTTAGGGTGGGCAAATTATTTTTAAATCAAAGCTCCACTTGGGTAACCTAGGCATGCTAGGTAGGAGATTTGAAAGTCTATGACTTGCCAAGAACTTCAGCTATTCCTATAAACAATTTAAATATGATGACTTTTGCATGCTAAACAGGTTATCCAATTCTCAGACTTGATATTCTCTAGAGAGTTTGAATTATCACCCTTTCTACACACATAATCATTCACATATACATTTCAATATCATCTCTATAAACACGTCAGTATGCTTAAATGGATATAAAGTTTCCTGTAGTTACATCTTGCTCTTAGCATTGGAAATTGATTGATTTGATTTTTTAAAAAAATTAGACACCTGTACTATTAGCAACTTGAAAGTTTGAGTTCTAATCCAGCCTGGTGAAGCCTTGAATCAAAAAGTAACAGAAGTCAGGAATACAAGCCTCATTTAGCATTTGCAAAACCCTAGGTGCAGTGCCCAGCACTGTACACTCAAACAAAGATGAGTGTGTGTGTGTGTGTGTGTGTGTGTGTGTGTGTGTGTGTGTGTGTGTGGGTGTGGGGGGGGGGAGACATACATAATATGCTGTACTCCCAAGGAAGTAGATGTAAATTTTAAATTCATCTGAAAAGAAAAATCAACAGTATAGGGTAGGTTTTGAATGTTCTTTAAATGAAGATTGTACACATGCTTATCATGCCAGTTCATGTGAATTTCCTTTACATGGCATCTATGTTTGTTAGATCACCTAACTACCAAATACTATTTCGTAAGGAAAAGCATGTCTGGTGACATGCTAAATTGCTCTCAATAGTAATTAAGGTGAATTAATCAAGTGGCCATTTGCTCCTTAAAAAACGGGATTCTCTACTTCTGATAGACACATTTTGAGCTTTGTGGTAGGTCAGCAGATTCAACACTGAACATGTGTATTCAGCGTTATTAAAATTCCCAGAGTGAAGCCCCAGTCTCTACAATGGCTCTAGTCTTTAATTTGCTGCTTTCCTTTCTTTACCTCTGACTTCATTTATTTCTCCCACATGCCTTTGCTCAAGCCACACTGGCTTTTCTGGTATAGATAAATATGCTGAACTGAATTTTCTGGTATAGCTGAATATGTTAGTTAAAAAATTAACTAACAAAAAGGGCTGGGGAGGTGGCTCAGTGGTAAAAAAAAATTAACAATCACACTTCCTGATTTCTTTAGTTTCTGCCTAATGTCCCTGTTTTTGTTTGTTTTGCTTTGTCTTTGTTCTGTGAAATGCTTTTATTTTGAAAGCATTTATATGGATATACATTATTTCTTCAGTTTTGGTTAGCATGAAGAAACGAGCTTGAAAGTCCTGAAGTGGTTGAGCTTAGCACTACAAGTTTTAAAAGCAAGTTGTAGCATTTCACCTGTTAAAGACGCATTTTTAACTTGTACATAAAACATGAGACTGCACAGAGATGCAGTGCAGCATAGTGCTCTGCATATGTAATATGCAACACGTGATCTTCACATCAGGTTACGCCTGTCTCCCCAAATATTTCTCATTTTTGTGATCAAAAGGCTTTATGTTCAGTCTCAGTTTCACTATTCAGCCTTTGCACCACAACTGCCTTAGGCTTCCAGGATCCTTTCCTTGGCCTCCACGAGGCTGATTCCCACCACCTACTGTTCAGAGTCACCCTTCTCAATAATGCTCATCCTGCCTGGCTGCTAAAATAATTCTAACCCCCTTCCCAGACTCTACATCCTCCATACCCCTGGCCCACTTCTGCTCTGTAGCATTTACAGCCTTCTGCTTGATTTTATGGACTATGCTCACATGCGTGGTGTTTACTGTCTATTTCCCATCTAGTAAGTTTCATAAGGGAAAAGACCTTTATGTCTTTTTGATGCTTCCTCAGATCCAGTTTCAGAAGAGAAATGTGTGTGGCAGCAGCATTCCCTGTTTTGCTCTGTTTTTGGAGGCGAAGTCTTGCTTTGCTGTCTAGACTGGTTTGAAAGATACAATCAGTGACTGAAAATAGGCTTCTGCCTCAGGCTCCTGAGTTTGGTGCCTTCAGCCGCCCTTAGTGTCCCCATTCAAAAAGTGAGTATTTTCCTGGTGTCGATTACCTAGGCAGGAACCCAAGTATGTGCCAATTCTGTGCTGTGTTTCAACACCTAAACTTCCTCAGAGAATACAATTTATCATGTGCCTCCAAATATAGGTGGTGAAAACCACATCAATTTCCAATTTCCCAATCTTCAACAAGGATTGTTTGCATTTTCCAAGGAAGCAATACAACCGGTAAAACTACCATTTCATCCACACACACACAAAAGAAAGGAGAAATACACAGATTCCCAGCATCGGGGTATGGTGGGGATAAAATAAAAATTTAATGGTTCTGAATGAGTTTTAATGCAGTTACCACCCACCCACCCCCAAATAAAACCCCAAAACTTCATGGAAATTCTGTTGTTGAAGCAGAAAATGAAAATCCAGAAGGCAAGTTTTTTTGTTGGATTCTAGGTAACTCACCTATTACAGCGAGCCTTGTCCAAGGATGGTGCAAAAGCCAAGCAAATATACTTGTATCGATCTGCTTTTCAGAAGTAGACTATGAAGATACCTGTCCTAGGTTTAGGTCAGCTCTGCTAACCTGAAGTCTCATGAGCTAAACTAAAACACTCAACAAATTCTTCGAGGAAGGTCCCAACCCTTCGACCTTTCCAACCCCGGACATAAGAGCGAGAAATTAAACTCCAAATTTTAGGATTCAGCAGTGCCGTGAAATCCCAGGCAGGTAATTCACAGCCCAGAGTGCTAGAGTGCTGAAACATCCCATCCTGGTCCTTACACCTGCCCCTCGGGCAGTGACCCCCTTGGGCAGGAAGGATCGGGTGATTCACTTGGGGCCAGCCTTCCCCGGAGGGCAAACTGGGTCTGACGTCATGCTCTGAGACTCTGGGTCCGTTTGGTGGGCTTAGGAACCAGGACACCTAGGAGCCGACCTCTCCCGAGTCAGTGGGGTCCCGCCCTTGGCACCTTCCAGCACCCGGAGCCCAGCCCTGGCAATCCAAGAGGGTCAAGTCCTGGGGAAGCGGGAAGCCACGCCCCGGGGCGGGGCTAAGTTTGGACGAAACCACTGCCTGGAGTGCGGGGGGCGGAGCTTCTCTCTGGCCTTATGCGCGGACTCCTCTTTGGGGCGCCCCGTCTCTGGCGTGTCCCCCGCAGTGTATGGTGTGGCCCGGGGTCGCTGGTCACGCGTCGGGGGTGCGGCCTGCTCCCGGC